GTAATGACGGTAATATAAAGTGTGTGTTTTGTTATCGAGATTGCAAACGTGTTGACTGTGGAAATTCTGTATATTGCAAAGTTGTACCGAGAAAGAATAAACTAATTAAGAAAGGACTTGTATTGCTGAAGTTTCTCGGAAATAATTTCTACGGGAAATGAACAAACAAGCAGATACGTAACAATACATTATTTTGGGAGTTTAGCTAAACTAAAGTGTAGTTACACAAAGTTGTTTTACATTCTGACTAAGTGATCTTCAACAGTTGATAGTTAGTTGAATGAATTATTAAAAAGTAACGTAAATTGTGGTAAAAAACGACAATAATTTAATTTGAATCCGTAATGTTAGCGGAATTATTCAAAAATACCATAGCAGTAATTTCGATTATCTAAAACTATTCTTCCCATTGAATTATCACTACGTCAGACGCCATTAAGATCTAATATTAGTGATCTTCAACAGTTGATAGTTAGTTGAATGAATTATTAAAAAGTAACGTAAATTGTGGTAAAAAACGACAATAATTTAATTTGAATCCGTAATGTTAGCGGAATTATTCAAAAATACCATAGCAGTAATTTCGATTATCTAAAACTATTCTTCCCATTGAATTATCACTACGTCAGACGCCATTTAGATCTAATATGTCTTCATATGTTAAGTGTTGTTGTTTTGGGAACTTAATAAGTTAGTTACATAAAGTATTTAAGTATAAATTTCGCAGCTTTTTTTCAAATGTGTTTTATTCATGCAGTAACATAAAAATAATTTATGAATTGTTTCGGCTCTCTTTGTATAGGAGATTTTTGGAAAACTATAACTTTTTTGGTTTAAATATGAGCTTTATATTTTTACACTCCAACCAAATTTTATATATTTATATTTATAAAAGAGTACTTAAGTCTTACTATAAAAATACGTCATACTGGAAAATATGCCCGTACGTTTAACTCACTTATTAATAACAAATTCATTATCTAAAAAAAAAAAAAAAAGATACAGCTCTTGTTTAGTAGTTCAATCGTTAAGTCTTCTGAAAGAAAAAGGATTTGTTACAAAGAAATATCAATTAGTTTAAAAATATATAAATACTGAAATTAAAACAATACCTTTTTGTAACATATCTAAATGTTCCCACAAGATATCACCCATAAACGGAGGTGCTTGAGACAGGAAACTATCTTTGGTTAGAGCACACATATCTCTACCATTCATTTGAAATTTTGATGGATTGACTCCTTCTAGACTAAACTCTCGAACAGCCCAGCCTAACCACCGGGATACATTCATTTCATTCCACAACCGGGGATCTAAAATAAAACACAATATATTATCATATAACTTACAAAAGTTTAGGTTGGGTTAAAATGACAAAACATAACTGTGATATAAATATTGTATAATTTTAAACGGTATTCAATAAATTAAAAAAAAAGAGTTTACCATTGACACTAAGGAAAAAAATAAGCCCCTTAATATATAAAATTATATATAGTTTGACTCATTATTACCATTTTTCATATTCCGAAAGTTATGCTATCTTGACTATATAGTCACTACTAACATTCATCAATCCAAATTTATAATACTTTTCATGTACTGGACGTTGATATACTATATAAGGATATTAATTAATTAACACTATTTGTTCATGTAGTCAACGTTGGTATACTATATACGTGGATCTTGACTGATTACTACTTATCCATGTAATCAACTTTGACACACTACATATAGGAATATTGACTAATTATTACTGATTGTTCATGTAACCAACGTTATATATTACATACAAGGATCGTGACTAATAACAACTTGTTCATGTATTCAACGTTGATACACTAGATATAGGAATATTGACTAATTACAATTTGTTCATGTATTCAACGTTGACATGCTAAATATAAGAATATTGACTAATTTCAACTTGTTCATGTATTCAACGTTGATACACTAGATATAGGAATATTGACTAATTACAATTTGTTCATGTATTCAACGTTGACATACTAAATATAAGAATATTGACTAATTTCAACTTGTTCATGTATTCAACGTTGATACACTAGATATAGGAATATTGACTAATTACAATTTGTTCATGTATTCAACGTTGACATGCTAAATATAAGAATATTGACTAATTTCAACTTGTTCATGTATTCAACTTTGAGATACTAAATATAATAATATTGACTAATTACTACTTGTTCATGTATTAAACGTTGATATACTAAATATAAGAATATTGACTAATTTCAACTTGTTCATGTTTTCAACGTTGATATACTAAATATAAGAATATTGACTAATTTCAACTTGTTCATGTTTTCAACGTTGACATACTAGATATAAGAATATTGACTAATTTCAACTTGTTCATGTTTTCAACTTTGAGATACTAAATATAAGAATATTGACTAATTTCAACTTGTTCATGTTTTCAACGTTGACATACTAGATATACGAATATTGACTAATTTCAACTTGTTCATGTTTTCAACGTTGATATACTAAACATAAGAATATTGACTAATTTCAACTTGTTCATGTATTAAACGTTGATATACTAGATATAGGAATATTGACTAATTTCAACTTGTTCATGGTTTCAACGTTGATATACTAAATATAAGAATATTGACTAATTTCAACTTGTTCATGTTTTCAACGTTGATATACTAAATATAAGAATATTGACTAATTTCAACTTGTTCATGTTTTCAACGTTGATATACTAAATATAAGAATATTGACTAATTACAACTACTTCTTCATTTACTCAATATTATATATGAGATACAAAGATCTTGACTAATTACAACTACTTGTCCATGCACTCAACGTTATATATTAGATACAATGATCTTGGTTAATTTTTACTAACTGTTCATGAACTCAAGGTTGATACACTAGATACATGAATATTAACATATTACTACTACTCGTTCATGCACCAAACGTTAGTTATGACATTATTATTATTTTTTTATACACTAATTATATATACTTTTCTTTTGTTGTCTGTTGTACTTGTTAACTAGTATTTGAAATCATTTTTTATTAGAATAATACATTTAAATACATTATTAGAATAATACATTTAAATACATTATTATAATATATACATTTAAATACATTATTATAATATATACAGTATATACTGTAATAATATATAATAACTTCAGCTGACAGGTTTTTGGAAATAAGTGTTTTAACTGCCAAATTTATTTTGCGAACAAACTTTTGAACTGTTACTACTATTGCACATCTCTTGGTAACTGAATTTCAATGCACATACATTTTATTATCATACATACATATTATTTTAGAGACATTGTAGTAACATTTAGTTGTTATTATGCCGAACCGTTTTGTGTAGTAATCACAACAATAAGGACAGTTAAAAAATTTAAATAGTTAGATAACGACCAAATTCTAAACAAACAAAAATTATAGCCGAACTATTCAGAATAAATTACTCCTAAAAAGCTTCTAAAGTAATAGAAATTAGCACACATATTAAAATAATTACCTTTTGGAATGTTCAACTTGTGCATTTCTCGCTCCCAGCTACTAAAACTCTCTGTTAGTGCTTGGGTCATCTTCTGATTAGTAATTGGCGTCAATGGTGGAACTTGGACAGGAAATTCTGGTAAAACCGTTCAATTTTTATAATGTAAGTTTATACAGAACTATCGAAGATTATAATGTAAGATGTCGGATGTAATTCCCTAATCCCGTTATTTAGGTTTATAGCAATCCTCGTCCGACACCTTGTTAGATACATACATTTACAAGACATTACTTTTAAAATCAAGACAAATAAAAAAACATTTAAGAGAAATTAGCATTTCCTTATTTGGATTGCTTAAGTGCTCTAAACTTGAAATATTATGGTTTAAAACCAACATTCTGCTAGAGTTGAGTTGTTCAGTGCCAATACTTTTTTCATCCGAGGTGACTTTTTTACTAAAAAAAAGCTTCTTTTTTTTCAAATGAAACTACAGCAAAACGCTTTTTTCTCTTCTTCAAAAGAAAATGGAAAATTTAGTTGTACATTTATCAAAACTGTTAAATAATTATAAAGTCATGTCACGTATAACTACTATTATAGAAAACCAACGAGTCATCACTCCATTATGCCTTGTAGACTGATATACTTAAAAAAAACAACACGCAGAACATGCGAGAATGTTGTACAGAGCGGCATAAGTAATTCTCATTATAAATCTTCACATACAATGCACACTTTAGAATAATAATTCTGAAAGAATGAATAAGTTAACAGGAAACCAAAGTCAACTCTTGTGTTGTTTACATTCTATGAATTTAGAGCTATATACAAAAACTTCATTCTATGAAATATGTCATCGTTGAAAATATATTGAACAATATATAACGTTATATTTTTAATATAAAATAAACGAAAAGGATAAAACAAATATCTCAAAAGAAAGAAAATTTAACTCACATGGACAACTAACTCATATATAGTATGTACACTAAATACTTTACGTTTTTTAAGTTGTATGACTTTCAAGCTAAGATGTATGAGCTTATTCAATACAAACTGGACAGTATTATGCTTTTTTTTAACTTGTGTATTTTTCGCCATTATTCAATTTGTAGACAAGTTTAGCGCTGTCTTCTTCATATAAAACTTGTATTAAAGTATTAAAAACGGTGAATATTATTCAAACTTCTTGTCACATATCATATGCGAATTACAGCATTAGTCACTAAAACCAATTCTCATCGTAACAACAACGTAACATAACAATTGTATATTTCAATACAGATGTTATTGTACATCAATTTCTTGTCAGTGGACGTTTTGTAAAACACTGACTTGTTTTGAAATCCAACACATCAACTTGGTATCTGAAACGCCTTTGGGCGTGTAATAACTTCAGGTGTTTATTTAAGCTCATAACGTAGGTGATGTATAGACATGTTAACACATAATAGCAAAGTTTAATCTTCCGCCCTTTTTTATTTATTTATTATTTTTGTGACCGAAAGTTTACGAATTGAAGAGAAATCTCTCTCTTACGACTTAATGTTTATATGAAAAATATAGTTATTATACACGTCTTTTCTTTCTAATAAATTGTTTGCTAGTTAACTAGTGACAGATTGACAAAAAATAAGAAGAATCAGAAGAAAGAAGTCCACCAAAGAAGATATCCAACAAATAAAACGAAAATGCAATACCCCATACAACTGTTGAGTTGTTAAACTAGTGACTACACCCGTATAATATACATGTCTAAAGTTTTGATAGTATGTTTTCAGTGACGAGTTCCACGAAATCAAAGCAAAAACTACATGTGCAATCCAAACTTACATTTTATTTAAGCATGTGTGCATTTCAAGGAACTTTGCTGGTCACGTAGTAACCGTTTGATTGGATTTACATGAGGAACTTCGATACAAAAACCTTTATTATGAATACTTTTTCTTGTTAGTAACAGTCTGATTGGATATACAGATGAAACATTGATATATGCAAAACCTGTATTATGAATATTTTTCTTCCTGTTAGTAAGCGTCCAATAAGATTTACATACAGAACATTGATATAAAAATCTTATTACGAATACTATTTCCTGTTAGTGAGTGTCTAATTGAACTTACAGGTGGAACGTTGATATATACGAAACCTCTATCATAAAGATTCTTTTTTTGCTCTAAATTTCACAGCTTATGCTTACAATTAAGCTGCTCTCTACAAAAGCATTATAATTATTTTAATATTAAGCTCACTTGTAAGTTTTCTTTCTGTTTTAAAAACGAACGTAAGGAAGACACCAAGATAGAGGTTAATTAATCGTGTTTCATTTGAGTACCTTTAAATACTTGTATTTAGAATAAAATCCTTTCAAATGTTTATCTTAATACCTAAAAGTTCATATTCAAATAAAGATAATACAATGATATAAAAAATATTAAGAAAATTAATTTAAGTTGAAGGTTTTCGTATTGTTGCTCAGCCTACAGAAGTTGAGTACGTTATACTAAACCAATTTTGGAGGCTCACCACATTGTAAACAATTCATGCCGTCGAGCCCAGTCATTCTCTATCTGACAACCGTGCATCTTGACAGTAGTCCTACAGAATAATGTCTATTGCAAAGGGCTCAATTATAAGGCTTTCATGTCCGAAGCACATCACACCTCCATGCTTACTTTCTATATCACATTTAGTGTTCGATAATGACGCTTTCCCAGTGCTCGTTTCAACAGTCCAACCACACAGAAATCCATAGATGCTGCGTCTGGAAACTTGACCGGTATGTCTTCGTGAATAACCGTTTCATTCTTCAGCTGCTTTAAGTATGGCGTGGGAGTAACTTGTGTACAAGTGACTTGTGTCACTTTTCCATATGGATATCCTTCTTGATTATGTTGCGGCATACTGTTGCCTGGGAGACTAGACGGCTTTTGCTAATGACTTTTGTATCCCAAGTTTGATTCACATTCCTTTATTTTCCAAAGCCATTAATCACAAGAAACATCCCATCTCAGAAATTCCAAGTCTCCTATCTGAATACATCGTCATGATATGAGTGTATGAATAATTTGCATCGGAAAGGACTGTTATATGCCCTTTTCAAAAGTAATCAATTTTCAATGGCATCACACTTCCTAGATAGTGCCAAACAATGCCAAATTTTAGATAAGATACATGTCATTCTACCGTAACTTTATATTGGTTGTGGTTATAAGCTAAATGGCGAGAAAAAATGTTTTCTGCTTAATTTCGTTTGCAAATTCCTATATTCCACTCGTAAAATCGCAAAATTATTAAGATCTAAATAAATTGCTTATGTTTTTTTCCAAAGAATACTTGTCACTTTATCAAGCTTTTGTCATAAGTCTTATTTAATGTTATAGTGCAGAACTTTATCCTTTATTCAAAACCATATACACGTGTGATTCAGGTTGGTTGAAAAAAAATATAGGTTTTCATACGTTTTACAAAAATTTTCACAAAAATATATGTCCACTTTCAAAATATAGGCTTTAATCGGTTTTATAGTTTCACTGGGAGACTGGGCAGCATTCGCCTGTATAATCAAGCGTTAAAGTAAGTTATTTTAAGAAGCGATAGTTACGGTAAGTTTGCTTAGATAACTGTTTACGAATCTTGTGAATTGACGTCATGTTATTTGAACCTTCTTGGATTTTCTCGTTGCTTTAACTTAGTATTGTTACATCATAACGTCACGTAGTTTGTGGAAAGTTCAAGGCCTCAGTCTGGCAATATATAGGCGACCAAGTTAGTGAAAGAAAAAGTGAAGTTAGGCTGTGTGATTGTGAGTTTAGCCATAGAGAGCGGACAGTGGCGAGTTCTAAAGTAAAACTATCACAGCTTGTATTGTAATAACAGAGATAGAGAAGAATTTGTCTTGTCAATTTGGTTTTGAAACAACCTGTGCGGACGTTTGGCGTAAAAGAGAATTATTAAAACTCTGGATACAATTGTGGTAACCAACAGAGTAACGTATTGTATTGTGATAACAGAGTAGAGGAGAATAATTCGTCTTGTCAATTGGGTTCTAAAGTAACTAAACCAGCATGAGTGGACTCTTGACGAAAAAAAACGAATATTTAAAGCTCTGGATACAACTGCAGTGATTAACTGTGTAATGAACATTTGTATATGCCTTTCACTTGTATTAAATATATTATTTTAAAACAAGCAGATTGTGTGCTGCCCGTATATTGCTGAATTTTATCGCCAACAAGTCACAGACAACTGTAAAGAATCCTGCACACATACATATATACATAAAAACCCAACATAATATAATAATTTATGAAAAATCAAAATTTCAAGCATGGTAAGTTACATTTGGATGTTTCCTTTTTCAAAGTTGTTCTGCTTTTATAAATACTATGTTTGTTTGTTTTTTTATGCTGTGTCTAAAGCGTGTTGCTATCAGTTTCTACCAAAATATTACAGTTGTATTACCTCTATATCATTGATAATAGTTTCTACCCGTGTGACTTTATTTCAAAAGGAAAAACATTTGCTGCTGGGGGATCACTTTAGGAGTGAAATTTACCAAGTGAAAGAATAAGGGGTAAAAGCTTTATTCAAAAGCTATAGAAACTTCTAATTCTATATATATACATAGTGAATAAGTTTCCCTATTCACATACATTATACTGACAACAGATTAATACAAAACTTTATAATCCTACATATCTCCAAGTTCCCTTTTCAGTGCCCACATGCTTACAATTATAATATTCTTAAACAAAAGCCCGATGGTCCCAAATTGAAGAACTAAATTCCAGTGACTTACTGACGTTTTAAAATATCAATTTAGTATTTCTGTCATGAAAAAAAACCTAGACAATTTTATATAGCCGTAAAAAGCACTGAAAAATTAAACAATTATGAAAACCCTAGACAATTATAAATAACCGTAGATAAAAAACTAGTCAATTATAAAACAATAATAGACAATTATAAATAACCGTAACTGATCATAGAAAAAAACTAGGCAATTATAAATAACCGTAGATAAGCACGGAAAAACTAGACAACTGTTAAAAAAACCTAGACAAATAATACTCTTGACAATTATAAATAACCCTAGACAATTATTACCTACCATTTTAGATAAAACATAGCAC